TAGGTGTGTATATACACACAAAAAAACCATACATTTGCACGCAGTTCATTAATATAGTCGTTTGTTTTTATTGAATCGATATAATGTCAAGTCGCTGACGATACCAATCTCGCTCAAAATTGAGATCGTGACTTTCACACAAGTCTGCAAATGTTCTGTACATCTGTTCGATATTAAATTTCAAAGATGATTGTAATTTGCGTAAACAAACTGGACAAACAAAAAGTGTTTGTTGATCTATTTCCATTTCATTATTTGCATCATTCATAAGGCATAGATGATAAATACAATGTTTTAGACCGAAAATATGACAGATAATCATGAAGAAGAATTTTGATACAGCGTCGAAGAATTATGATACGATCCACATCAGTGAGTTCACTATTCATTGATTCGTATGGTGGCATAGGAAATAAAGGACCAAGACGAGAAAACGAATAGACACCAGTACTATCCGTGGCACGGGCTCGTACATAGACAAAATTGTATGTTTCATCGGGATAAGTGTCTGCCATGGTCACTGCAACACATAATATTTCTTTTTCTGCGTTACGTTGATTACGTGTATGAACAAGATAATCAAGCAGACCGTTTGTCTGATATTAAATCTGTTTCGTTTTACTATTAATTCGATTTGTCATGGATTCGTTAAAATCAAACATCGGCAAAATTGTGACATCACAACCAAGAAAGAATGCTTGAGCAAATTGACCAATCAGTTCAAGAGACGGAGCTGTACATACATACATACATGGGTGTGGGTGTGGGGTGTGGGGTGTGTGATAGCTGCCAAGACGCGTTTCATCCCTGCTAAAGAACTCTTCAGTTGGCTTAGTTCTATATGATTATTTAAAATAAATTTGAAAATCAACAAGACTATTTATACTGTTATAAAAATAGAATCATTTTTTAGAAAATTCTATTCTATAATGATAAAATCATTTTACAGTGTGTGTGTGTGTGTGTGTGAAGCATAACCAAAATAAAATCGGTTTATTTAAATTTTATTTCAATTCTATAAAGTAGAATCATTATCAAGGCTTGACTTCATCAGGCGGTATTCTTAATATTGTATCTACTAGATAGTAATTATTAAATTATTCGGATAGAAACATTCGAATTACTTTTCAATACAATAATTAATATTACATTTGTACATTTAAAATTTTCCAAATAGACTTAACTTAACTATAAGGGTGTGTATTTTTTTAAAGAAATTAACCGCGATCTAGATTTCGACCTGTTTCAAGGGTCATCATCAGGTAGTTGAAGCACTGCATATAATATTAAATTAAAAGGAAAAATTTCAAAGGAAAATTATTCCTCTCACTTTTAATATCAAAGCAAAGCAGAGAAAGCTCAAAGACTAATAGAGTGAGTATTAATTTTACAGATTCTAACTACTATCTAGAGGGTGTCGGTGTCGATGTGGGCATTTTCTGGAATTTAATGGCATATATCAGCATCCACACCCGCACCCACACCACCCACACCCACACACACACCCACACACACACCCACACCCACACCCTCAGGTAGACCAGTATCAGTTGTTGACCAAGCTACAAAATATGAAATTTCTTTGGTTTTGGAGGAAGAACCTCAAACATCGATTTATCGAATGAGTTTACAATTAAATATTCCAAGATCTTCAGTTCAAAGTATCTACAAATCGATGGACTATAAGCCGTACATTCCTAGATTGGTTCATGACCTGAATGAAGATGATTTTGATCGACGAGTTGAATGCTGCGAAACGTTCTTAACACTACTACAGAACGAACCTGATCTTATCTACCATATCATGTGGTCGGATGAAGCAGTATTTAGACTCAGCGGACATATTAATTGTCATAATTGTGTCTATTGGGCAACTGAATATCCAAATGTTACATGGGAGCACACAATGCAAGCTGAATAACACACTCTATGGGCTTGTATCTGGTCTGAAGGGATCATCGGGCTTTATTTTTTCGATGACACGGTGACTGCTCAAAGTTATCTTGCAATGCTGAACAATTACTTCTATCGAGTATATGGTGATTTACCAGGTAATGAATAAATTTTCTTGATGGAAGAATTAATATCTTGTAATTTACTAGAAAACGAATCAATGTTTTTATGCAAGATGGAGCGCCAGCACACTATACCTCTAATGTTCGAAATTGGCTTGAAAAACATTTTCCAGCAAGGTGGATTGGCCGTCGAGGTGCAATCGAATGGCCTGCTAGATCTCCTGATCTTACGCCAACCGATTTCTTCCTATGGGGATATCTGAAAGATATCGTGTACAAAAGCAAGCCACGAACCTTATGTGATCTAAAGCAATCGATCATCTCAGCCTTTTCAGCATTAGATTCTGACTTGTGCAAGAAGGTTTGCGAATCAGTACCTGAAAGACTGCAAAGATGTGTCGATGCTAATGGACATCAATTCGAGCACTTGAATTAGGTTGCTCTCTGATTTCAGTCTGTATTCATCGTTATCCGCATAATAAACTTTGTTTTGATTTTCTTATGTCATTACCTAGAACAAGAGTTTTGGAAATAAGTATAGATCATCGTGTAGCATTTTATAGAACCAGTAAGTGAAAACTCCGTATTGATGTTGATTTTATTAGATAGGAACAGTGATTGGTTGATATTTCTCATTTAAAAAAAAACCTTCAAGTGAGCCTCTATCACAGGTAAAAATTTCAGCTCGTTTGGTCGAGAATTGGTGGAGATATTTAAATTTCTTATAGCACTGTTATTTATGCCCCCGCCCCCTGTAGAATGTGAACGTGGATGAGTGTAAGGATGTTGGCGTGGTTTGGGTTTGGTCGTAGGATAGTTGCGGTTGTATGAATGTAGATACACGAGAAGAGGACCCAAGTCCACGCCACTGCCTCACTCATGTGACATCCACTCTACTTTAAAAGTAAGCAGGAATGTCTTATGTACATGTGTGTATATGGAGGTCAAGGTGTGGTTGTAAATGTGGCTGTTGATCGCCTCATAAACCTTATCTAGATCCACAGACATACCCGCACTCACTCAAAGTAGGAAATTAGCAAAAAGAGACGCAACCCATGGCGTCTATTTTTTGCACTACCCAGTCAGACAAACCTTTGAAAATAACGCGTTGTTAGTCTGTGGACTAACTTCTCCTGGTTCTATCTTTATTTCAACTGAACTAAAACAAACAAACTGACCCACACATATCCTTATGGATCATCCAGATGACCAATCCATAGAAGA